TATATATATATATATATATATATATATATATATATATATATATATATATATATATGTCAAGAAGACTGACGACGAAATTGAATTCTGAGAAAAAAGCAAAACGAAAACTAACAGTTTTAATCTGCCCAAGAATATTGGTCACTGCATAGAGAAGATCTTCTAATTCTTAATATCAGTTTCACATATTAGGAAAAGAAAAAAGTGCATTTATATGGAAATCTCAAGTTAATCCATGAGCTGGATTACTCACTTTCTTATTTAGTGATAGTGATGGCGATTTGTTACTATAATCAAATAAAAGGTTTGTTTTAATTTTCCTTCGTATTAGGAAATCTCTCATTTTCAGTTTTGGGCAATACTTTGCGTGGGGAATGCCTAAATTAATTAGCCGACCAAAGCAGTTTTCATTAGTTACAACTGCAACTCGTTTATCGTATAATTAATATTTGAGTACTCTAAAATACAAATTATTGTAGGGGTCCTTTGGTTTGGCGACTAGGGACCATATAGTTGGTCATTTTACCTCAATTAGCAACTCTAAGTGGGAGATTCAATTTCAAATGGTAATGTCGGAAGCTCAAATTTCATTGATCAAGTTATTAGTGTTGGACTTTAAGCATTGGGCTTTAAAAGTCTAAGAGTATGAATTGGAAATGGTGGAAAATAAAATGGAGGGAAATGAAAATTTGAATAAAGTGAGCTTTTGTCTTGAACTTTGTCCCTCATTGGTGAGGGACAACTACATTTGTGCGTATATATATAGAATCACTTCTTAGATCTCTTAAAAGGAGTTGAAGAGAATGAACCCTCGCGCCGTCCTCGTCGCTCGCTCAGTTTCGGCTTTGGATTTGGATTTGGATTTGTCAAATGATCGATAAGATTATTTTTTGGACAAAATTTATTTAATTAATTATTTAATAATTAATTAAAAGCCAGCATGAAAGTTTATTCCGTTTCATCCCGACCTTGGCAACGTGTGAGGGGGTTAAAATTCCTTAAGGACGCACAAGCAAATTGTGGACTCGGGATATTTTTTATACTTTACTGTTTTTTTCTAGTTTTTTATTCTAACAGTCTTTCTGATTTTGCGTTTTAATACAGTAGCGTTCACAATTAGTTGAATCTTGTTTATCATCTACAAATTATTTACGTAATAAATAAGTAACCAGGAAATCAAATATATATTTTATCAAATGATAGGTGTCGCGAGGATGTTTATAAACATATTTTATAAATTTCACCAATTTTTATGAAACTGTTTAACCGGACATAATGATAAAGATATTAATTTAACTTATATATCATGTTAGTGGCAGTGAACGAGAAAATTAAATAATAAATTAATAGTTGATAAAATCCAATAATCTCATTTTTTAGCTTTCAAAGTTGGCAAACATACCTTGGATGGGCGATCACCCAACTAGCTCCTGCTTGAAAGCAAGAAGCTCACAATAGTATAGATAGGACGCGAGTATTTCAGTCATTAACATTAGTGGATTATGTAAAAATGCTAAAAGAGAGGGATCCAAACTCGTGGAGGTTCAAATTTTCAAGGCAATGCTACCATTCACCTAGAAAGGAATGACGTTATATAAAATGATCAATGGTATTGGATTGAATATTTGAGATGCCTCAAAATGGGAAAATGTGATATAAATTTGGAAGAAGTGAGAGATTGTTTCATAATTAAGTTATATTCATTGATAATAATTCTTTACATTATTAATATAGCTGTATGGGTCAAACTAACACCATGACAAGGACCCTCAAATCATCATTTAGGATAATCCAAGAAGCCACCTCAGATGTGGTCGAGGAGTCTAAGAGAGCCACAGTCAAGACACCGACAAAGATCAAGGTCGAGCAGTCGAGAAGAGCCGCGATTAGAGCTATCCCTGAGGATCAAGGACGAGGAGTCTAAGAGATTTGTGATCAAGACACCGAGAAGATCAAGGTCGAGTCGTCTAGGAGAGCCGCGGTTAGAGCTATCCCTGAGGATCAAGGTCGAGGAGAGCCGTGGTTAGTGTTATCCATGAAGGTTATGGTCGGGTACCGGCGATAGAGCTATAACGGTTAGTTTTCATAATAGAATCTGGAAGAGAATATTCTTGTGAATATTACTCACATTTGTACTATTAGGGTTTTTTGGGAAGAGATCCCATATAAATAGAAGAAAGAGAGAGAAGAGAGGCACGTGAAACTCATTTTGCAAGAACAACACTTAGAAAAAGATTTATGCTTCACTCAATATAAGACTTTACTTTCACCAAGATTCTTTCCAGATCTGAGGATTCTCAACTCTTTGAGAATCTATTGTTCAATCATTGTCAGGTGGAAGGTTCCTTTTGTTCCACCTTTTGCTCATTAAATTGTTCCTTTTAATTACGTGAGTGCCATTATGTGGTTATTTACTGCATATCAAACATACTGTTACTGTTCTTGATAGTAAAAGGTATTTATTACATAGAATCATCTTTGTCTCTAAGAACGCTTCTCAGCGGCCTTTTTCTGATATCAAGATCTGAGGAAATTATTCTTAACTAAGATTAACATATGTTTAACTGAAATTAATTATTTGAACTAAGATTTATATTTTTGGGTAAAATAATTTGGCGTCGTCTGTGGGGATTTCTTGGTTAAGCTTTTAGTCTCCTTTAGATCTATAACTGATGCCGGTCACTAACATCACAAAGCCCGAGATCTACTCTCTTTCCTTGTGGGAAATCTAACATGGCAGGTAACCGAGAAGAAAGGGTGAGGATAACAAGTGACTTACAGACCAACCTTATAACGGTCCTCTATGAGAGCTGCGAAACAACTGGTGAGGATATGACGCCGAACGCGTCCCCTAGGAGAGACGGGTCGCCACCCTCGCACTGTAGCATAACAAAATCTCATGGTAAAGGAGCCACTACGTCTGCGGAGGAAGGGGCACCCCCAGCAGTTAAAAAGCTTCTCAAGGCGTGGTTGACTGATACACTAATGAGTATCCTCAACAAACCCACCCCAGGCTCAACTGTGGAAACCGCAAGGACTATCACAATACAACAAATGGACGAGCAGTGCAATCAGCCATTTCGACTAACGATAGGTGTAACTCACAATATCATTAATAATGCAGGTGACAACGCCCTTACATCCATCCTGAAAAGGATGGAAGAATTGGAGAATGAAAATAAGGCGCTCCGTGATCAGATGAAAGAACATCAGGAACGAGTCGATAAAATACCAAGCGCCCCTAAATTGCTACCAAAAATGGACGTCGACAGGTTCATAGAGAAGCCATATAGCGATGATGCAGCTCCCCATGCCATACCAAAAACCTTCAAAATGCCGCCCTGCCTCAGAATATACGACGGCACGACTGACCTAGAAGATCATGTGACTCATTCACCACCGTGAAAGGCAATGACCTCGCCAAAGAGCAAGTGTCCTCCATTCTACTAAAAATCGGCGAAACCTTCACAGGAGGAGCATTAACATGGTATTCCCAGCTACCTGCGCTCCATAGAAACTTTCGAAGAGATGGTCGAAAAGTTCGTAATGGCCCATGTTGGGGCCAAGAAGACCGAGGCGAGAGTGAACGACATATTTGCCATTAAACATGCCCTAGGGGAAGGGCTGAGGGACTTCCTCGCCCCGTCAACCGAGTGAGGATGACTTTGCCGAACATATCCGAAGGAATGGCGGTTGCGGCATTTCAGAACGGGCTGAGCAGGGATGGTTCGAGGGTAACTAGGAAGTTATTAAGTCGGCTGATGAAGTACCCCCTGCCACTCGGGACGAAATACACAATGCATATTGTGCTGAGGTCCGAGCAGACGAGGACGAACTCAATGGACCAACTCATCGACTGACTTCGGTACAGGCCGAATCCAGGAAAAATTAAAGAAATGATACCGAAGAGATCTCGCAGCTCCGTGACCTAACAGGGAACGACATCAACCGTATGTTAGAACGGCCATTGCGCCTTCCTCTTGCTACGAAGAAGGCCCGTCTAAACCAAGTACAGGGAATCATCGGAATGAAAGAGGTATGTCCCCTTTATTATCCGCTCACAACTTTTGTGTGTCACTTATAGAGATAGTCTATGACCTGGAAAAGTTCGGACCGAAGGTAAAGTGGCCGCAGAAGATGAGGTCTGATCCGGATACTAGAAAGTCAGACGCCCTCTGCGAGTTCAATCATGAACGAGGGCACAAAATCGAAGATTTCATCGCCCTAAGGTAGGAGGACGTAAACATGTTACGACAAGGACACCTCAAAGAGTTGCTGAGCGACCAGGGAAGGACCAACTTTGGCAGAGGACGCGAACAATACCAAGGACCGCCGAAACCGCCCTCACCAGCTTGTACTATCCACATGATCATCGGTGGCAGTGACGATGCCTCCATCAACATCATGAAATTCACCACTACCCACAAGCTCAAATGGTCGATCACCCGTGAACGGCATGACGAACTCGAAGAGAGTATCATCTTCGATAAGTCAGATACCAACTGTTTGACTTTTCCTCACAATGATGCCCTCGTTATTACTTTACGAATTTTAGATATCGATGTGAGACGCATTATGGTAGATGATGGGAGCGGTGCGTGCATTATCCATCCTCGAGTATTTGCACAAATGAAACTCGAAGATAAAATAGTATCACGTTGCATCACGCTAACTGGTTTTAACAGCACAGTTGAGCGAACATTTGGAGAAATCACACTCCCCGTTATGGCCGGTGGCGTCACTTTGGAAACCACATTCCACATCATGGACCAAGACACAACGTACAACGCCGTAGTAGGGCGACCATGGATACACACCATGAGAGTTGGCCCTCACAGCTTATACCAGGTCATCAAGTTCTCGACTCCGTGGGAATATTCAGTATACGATGGGAACAACGCATATCCACGGAATGTTACCGCATCACCCTAGATACTACGACCACTAAACAAAAAAAGGGTCAATGAAAAAGAGGCATAACAATCAGCAGGGTCAAGGTCCACATGTGACGACGGCGGGGACAGCATCAGAGACCCCGATACGGTTGAAGCTGCAGGATCGACCATAGAAGACCTCGACCCCGTTCAAATAGACCTCAACGGCCACGACAAGAAGGCGTGCATCGGCTGAAAACTTCAGGAACCGGGTAAATTTCGTCAATTCTTAACAGCTAATGCAATTTGTGTGCTTTCAGCCATGCAGATATGCCAGCAATCCCAAAGGAAATCTCCACACATAAACTGCACGTCGATCCATTCCATCCCCCAGTAAGATAGGTCAGCGCAAGTTCAACTCCACAACTAACGATGCAGTACGCGAAGAGGTGGAAAATTTGTTAGAAAATGGCAGGGAGTCGAAGTACCCCAAATGGGTCGCCAACGTGATCATGGTGAAAAAGAAGAATGGGAAATGGCAGTTGTGCGTGGATTTCATATATTTGAACAAAAATGCCCCAAGGGTTCGTTCCCGTTACCCCATATCGACCAACTCATCGATGCGACGTCAGTGCATGAACTACTGAGCTTCCTAAAGCTTACTCGGGTTACAATAAAATCCTCATGAAAGAAGAAGATCAGGAAAACAACATTCATCACCCATCAAGGAACGTACTGCTGCCGGGTCATGCCCTTCGGGCTAAAGAACGCGCGGGCAGCTTATCAAAGGTTGGTGATAAGAATGTTCAAGGACCAGCTCGGCAAGATTATGGAAGTCTATATAGACGACATGCTAGTCAAATCCAAAAGGAAAGAGGATCACATCGACCATCTGAGAGAAACTTTCGACATACTCAGACGGTACGGAATGAAACTGAACCCTGAAAAGTGTGCATTAGGCATGGCCTCAGGAAAATTTCTAGGCTTCCTGGTATCACAACGAGGGATCGATGTCAATCCTGACAAAATCAAAGCCATCGAGAGGATACCAGAATAATGGACCACCAAAAAACAGGTTCAAAGGCCGACCAGCCGTATCGCCGCCCTGTAAGGTTCATCTCACGGTCGTCAGACAGGTGCCACAAGTTCTTCAGCGTACTTAAGAAAGATAACGGCCTCCAATGGACTTCTGAGTGCATCCAAGCCCTAAAGCAACTAAAGATGTACCTTTCGTCGCCACCTCTACTTTCCAAACCTAAGCCGGGGGAGGGCCTCCTCGTTTATCTAGCCGCATCCGAAGTAGCTGTGAGCGCGGTCCTGGTTCGAGAAAACAAAGGTACGCAATCTCCCATATATTACATTATCAAACAGTAGTCGATGCAGAAACGAGGTACCTTCACCTGGAGAAACTAGCCTTGGCCTTAGTCGTAGCTTCACGAAAGTTTAGACCGTATTTCCAATGCCACCCCATCTCGACCGTCACAACTTCCCCCTAAGAAGCATTTTGCATAAACCCGAACTATCGGGAAGGCTGACCAAATGGGCCATCGGGCTGAGCGAGCACGATATCACGTACCAGCCGCGAACAGCGATAAAGTCGCAAGTTCTCGCTGACTTTGTTGCCGGCTTCATCGCCAAAATGATGCCCGAAATCAAAAAGGAAGCCATCCAAACTTCCCTCCAAATACAAGACCTCTGGGTCTTATACACCGATGGCGCATCCAACGCGTCAGGGTCTGGTCTAGGACTCGTACTCGAAGTCCCGACAGGCGAAGTAATTTACCAGTCCATCAGGTGCCCGGACATGACTAACAAAGAGGGCGAGTATGAGGCCATAATTGCAGGTTTGAGACTAGCACTCAGGTATATGGTAAAACGTTTAAAACTACGATGTGATTCCCAACTCGTAGTCAACCAAGTCACAAGGACTTTCTAAATCAAGGAACAAAGGTTGCAAAAATATCAGACCGAAATCTGCAAACTGCTGCCCGAGTTCGAGGAATGTCAGCTCGATCGAATTTCCCGAGCACAGAACGCTGAAGTGGATGGACTTGCTAAACTAGCCGCAGCTACCAAAAGCATCACAACCAGAGACAAAAATGTGGTCCACCTCCTTAACTCATCGCTAGACCAAGTCGAGGTAAGAATAGTAAGCTTAACTTGGTACGAGCGCATACTTGCAGGACGACACACTCCCGGATGATAAAAAAGAGGCCAAGAAACTGAGAATGCAAGCGGCCAGGTACAGTATCCTCCACAATGACTTGTATAAAAGAACTTACGGCGGCTCTTTAGCAAAATGCCTAGGCCCGAATCAAACTCGGCGCATCCTTAAAGAAGTCTAGGAAGGTCATTACGGGGCCCACTCCAGCAATCGGGCACTGTCAGATGCCTTATACGGGCGGGGTATTACTGGCCCACCATGAAAAAGGAGGCCGCAGACTTCGTGAAGAGATGCGAGCAATGCAAAAAATATGCTTCGAGCTGGCTAACACCTCGACTCGGTCACCTCACCTTGGTCGTTCATCAAATGAGGAATGGACATCGTGGGCCCCCTCCAGGCAGGGTTAGGTAACGTACGATTCCTTTTAGTTTTAACTAACTTTTTCTCTAAATGGGTGAAAGCATGAACATTCGCCCAAATACGGGAACAGGAAGTGATCGCCTTTATATGGAAAAATATCATACGCCGGTTCGGCCTCCCCAAGGAGATCAGCTGCGACAACGGACCCCAGTTCACGGGTAAGAAAACCACCGAGTTCTTTGAAAAATGGCATATCAAAAGGATACTCTCGACACCATACCACCCTACAGGCAATGGGCAAGCAAAGTCATCCAAAAAGTCGATAATGAACATCATAAAGAAAAAGCTTGAAGACGCCAAGGGACTGTGGCCAAAAATATTACCAGAAGTGTTGTGGGCTTATCGAACAACTCTGAAAACGAGCACTGGAGTGACGCCCTACTCTTTGGTCTATGGGACCGATGTAGTAATACCAGTCGAGGTTGGAGAACCCAGCCTAAGGTACTCTCATGAGAGTGGTACAAGCAATGACGAAAGCAGAAGGCAGGAGCTCGGCGAAGTCGAAGAACGAAGAGACATTGCCTATATAGGAATAATCGCCCAAAAACAACAAGAACGCTATTATAACAAGAAATCAAGGGCCGGGCCGCTCAAAGTCAGGAACTACGTGCTTAAAGCTAAAACACAAGCGAGCAAAGACCCACGGGAAGTCAAGCTAGGAATAAAATGGGACGGTCCGTACAAAATCACAGCAAAAGCGAACAAAGGGTCATTCCAACTGGAAGGAAAGCTACTACCAAACAACTGGATTATTGTCCACCTTAAGTACTTCAACTTTTAAGAGATAAAGTGTCCCCCAAGTCGTACTCTTTTTTCCCTCACTTGAGTTTTGCCCAATTGGGTTTTCTCAAGGATGTTTTCAACGAGGCGAAGAAGGGAACACTTTAAGTCGAAGTATACGAAGACGGGGCCGTGACGGCTATTTCATTGCTCTACCTCTCAAACACTCTCCAAGTCAATCAATGAAGGGACTAGATAGACTGGGACTGGAATGCCAACCAACGCCTGAAAACTTGTAAATTTCTCCAAGTATGTAACAAAAGCAGCAATTTAGGGATATCAGCACATCTTTCTAAATTCAAGTTACGTTCGACCTTGTTCGAACTAACACCCATCGGCCCTCGGCCAAATTTAAATTTAGGTTATGTTCGACCTTGTTCGAACTAACACCTACCGGGCCTCGGCCAAAATTAAATTCAGGTTATGTTCGCCCTAACTAATACCTACCGGCCCTCGGCCAAAATTAAATTCAGGTTATGTTCGACCTTATTCGAACTACACCTACTGGCCCTCGGCCAAAGTTAAATTCAGGTTATGTTCGACCTTGTTCGAACTAATACCTACTGGTCCCCAGCCATAACTAAATCCAGTCTATATCCGACTTAATTCAAACTAGCATATACCGGCACTCGGTCGTAGCTTAACAAACGATCATGTTCGAACTTGCTCGAACTACGCCTATCAACCTTTGGTCGCAATTCGCCATTAGGTGATCGCGGCCAAAAAGAAAAAAACCAATGCAACCGAGCAACAGGATTAAACTGCACACGAATACAAAAACAAAATCATAGGAAAAGAAGCAGATGCAAAAAACGAAGTTGGAATTTCTTACTTGAAACATTTTTATAAAGGCTCATGAAGACACCACCAACAACACACAAAAGTTAACAAAAAAGAAAAAGAAAAACTACTGATCACCACCATCAGGCCCTCCGCACCTTCACCACCCCGACTACCGATGTCCTTGCCACCTTGATCACCCATGTTTACATCGCCCACGCCATCGGGATAAGTGGTATCATACCAAGCATCCTCTTCAAGACGGTCCATGACTTCATCATCTCCCTCTTCATCGCCCTCGGGAGTAGCGCGATCATACCCGCAAATGACTAGAGCTTCACGGGATTTAACACGACATCCTCGCGGGAAGCCTCAGCAACGGACCCCGCTTTGTACAAATCTCGGTATACATCCAATTGAGCTTCGGTGTGAATCCACTCCTCCTACGATACCCGAGGAACATTGGGAAATTTTGAAGTATGAGAAGAAGAGGGTTGTGCAAGCAGTTGAGCCTTCTCAACTTCTAATGTGACCACCTGACCACGAAGGAAGGCATTATCTTTCTCTAGCTCTCCGACCCTGCCCTTTAGTTGCTTCTCCGCAGCCCTTGTCGCGGACTGGTCATTCTCCTGCTCAGCCGGAAGGGTGTTGTTCGCTAGCTCAAGCACCTCCAATCTCCTCTGGGCGTCTAAGTGGAAAGACTCCGCCTTCTCAAGTTCGCTCTGCTTCTCAGCAACTTCACCGATAAGGCCCTGCAATTGAAGACGACATTCTTCCAATTGCCTACGCAGCTCAACCACTTGCGCTTGAAGATCACTACATTGGGCCTCCGCGCCCTTACTGACTTCAAGATCCTCCTCTTTACTCCTCAGTGTCCCCTCAAGGATGCTGCACTTCTCGATAGAATTTACCAA